AGATTCCCGAGATAATAATTTCCCCGCCAAAACTTTCACCGGGCCGCAGGTGATACCCGAGAGCGCGGTGACGCTGAATTTGAATCTGCAAAGCTGCACGCGGGGAGGAGCTCATTACGCTAAGATTTCAGTTACCTGGGTTCCGTGGTTCCCGAGATAAAAGTCCGTCAAAATCTTCACGGGGCCATAAGTAACACCCGTGACGGCGAGAACGTCGAATTTGAAGTTGTAAAGCCGTGCATGGGCAGAAGGTCATTACCTTAAAATTACAGTTTTCTGTGATTCCTGAGATGTGTTAACCGCGGGCAGAGGAAGGTTGAATTTAAATTTGCGGGACCACACATGGGCGGGGAACATACTCTTATATTTTCAGCTTCTTACCTTCTGTGGTCCCCGATTTGAAAGTTGCGGACAAACACACACACACACACACACAAACATACATAGACAACCTCGTGACAATATGCTTTTTGTGGAGCAGCGTAGCACAGCACAAAACGCATAATAAATGGAGCGGAATCCCGGGAATAGCAGCCAGAGACGCCTGTACTGCAGTTTCAGGTTGTAACAACAAAGTTCTACACCGGTTTGTGAGCTGTTACAGCTATCGAGACGAAAACAACCTTCTCTTTCTTTTGTATGTAAAATAAAATTAACCTGACCCAAAAGTTTTTTTTTTTTTTTCATTGGATGAAAAAGCCCGGTAATTTCCGGCCCAGTGTTTTATGAATACAAAATTGGAACAAACGGTGGTAATTTTGTCGCTTTATTTTTAAAATATCCCCGTATTTAAAAATACCCCGTGAAAGTATCCTTTAAAGGCAAAAAAAAAAGTTTTCAGTAAAATCCCTGAAATGAATATCTTTATGGGAAGGTTGCATTTGATGTTCCAAAAAGGCACGAGCAATTCCTCTGTCATTTTTTGTAAACAGTTCCTTGTAAATACAAAGTTTTTCAGCACTTTTCCTGGACCGTACTCGCTGCAGTGCGAAGCATGCAGAGAGTGCACAGGTCACGCTTCAGCGTGTGCGTGAACGAGCTCTCGGGCGAATACGGTGCTGAGAGGAGCTAGTGAAGACGCACCTGCTTTCACTGCCACCAACGAAGAAGCCCTGCTGGCGCTGCTCATCTTCACCATCGGACGGGCTACGGCTCCCGCTGCGACTTCTGGACTTGCGATCCGACGAGTACAATGTTGCAATTCTGAACAGAACAACATCATGCACATCAGCAGCAACAGCAGCAGCAACGAAGCAAGAAACAACAAAAGACAAACCTTCGGCTCATCCTGCGACGCACCGACACTGCACGGACCTAAAAAAACAACAATTACACGCAGCCCCTGCCCTGCCAACGCTGGCAGTGGGAGTGCACAGAAACCGTCTGCTGAACCCCAATGCTCCCCATATCATCTCGCAACAGCACGCCGAAGTCGCTACTCGCTCCCGAAACAACGAAGGAAACGCCAATGCACAGCTCTTGTACCTCTGTCTCGAAATTCAACCGGAAGCACACCCACCGAAGCGGGCCCGGTGAGAGAGAGAGACTACTTTCCGGGAAAACACGGCAAACTCGGGCAACTTCCCCCTCCTCCTCCTTCCCCGGTCACAACGCATCCCTCCGGGCACAACCACCCGATGCGTTGAAGCGCCTCCGCGTGCCACCCCAGAACAAGCAGCCAACTCAGCACTCACATGACTCACAATGATCCCCTCCTCCCCGGCCACGCGACCGACCCAACCACTCATCACCGACCGCATGAACGAACGAACAGCCGCTTAATATGGTCAATTATAAAAACTCGGCTCGGCTGATGATCTATGCTGCTTGGGAATCTACTAAAACACGGCTCGGCTCGACTCGGCTCGTCTCGTACACGACCTGCGAAAAATTTTTTTCACGGACAGCGGGTAGGGTGACCCCATGGCGGATGGCGGTAGTTTGAATGTGGTACCAGACGCAAGTTAAAAGAAGTGGAAAGGAAGGGTTTTTATGGCTTTTCAGGTCGCGTATATGTGATGTGTAACGTGTCAGAGTAGGCGCATTTTACAGCCCCTTGAGGTCATCTATGCTCCTTCTACCCTGGCTACGTCCACATTCTTCCCGCATACAAGCTCCGTTTTTGGGCACAAAACTCAATCTCCGGTCCACTCGGACTGAGTGGCGGGGGCGAGTTTCGTCGTCCACTGCCCTCAGTTCTCACTACCAGCGGAAGAGGGGGAAAGGGAAAATTTGATGCTTAGGAAGAGAGAGAGGGGAGCAGAAGACACTTGTTCATCCACTAACCCCCGCTCACCCCTCCTCGCACCCCC